CCAGCATGAACTACATAGTGAGACTCTGTCTCAAAAAACCAACAACAACAAAAAAATCAGGAGTGACTGTACACACCTATAATGCCAGCACTCTGGGAAGCTGAGCCAAAAGGATTACAAACTCTGGCCTGGGATTTAGCTCAGTGGTGCTGCTGCCTGCCCCTCAACGTGCAAAGTCCCGAGTTTGATCCCTGGTACCAAAAAAAAAGGATCACAAGTTCAAGCCTAGCCTAGGTAACTTAAGAGACCCTGTCTCAAAATAAAAAAAATTAAAAAGGTCTGGGGGGGCTAGGGATTTAGCTCAGTGGTGCCATACCTGTCTCGAAAGCACAAGGTCCTGAGTTCAATCCCCGATACTGGGAAAAGGGGGGAGGGGGTAATAGCTCAGTGTGACAGCACTAAAAAAATACACACACACACACACACACACACACACACACAAATACTTTAATGTTTTAATGATAATTTAAAATGAGGACATAGGAAAAAAATAATAATAAAATTAAAAAATAAAATAAATTTTAAAAAATGAGGACACAGGGCTGAGGTTGCAGCTCCGGGTAGAGCACCTGCCTAGCATTTGTGAAGCCCTGGGTTCCTTCCTTCCTCAGCACCAAGATAAAATAAGAACAGAGTACAGACCTACAATACTTCCAGCAGAACACTCTGTCCCGGGGGTAGGCACATCATAACCTGCAGCCTTTCTCCTCCCAGTGCATCTGCAAGCCAAGTTTGGCTTTTTTTTTTTTGCAGTATCAGGGATCGAACTCAGGACCTTGCACCTGCCAGGCAGGCGCAGCACCTCTGAGCTTCATCCCCAGCCCCAAGAGTGGCTTTTGCATATTTTGGTTTGTTTTCTTCTTTTGTTTTGTGTTTTTTTCTTTTTGGTACCGGGGATTGAACTCAGGTCCTTGCATGCAGCAGCGCAGCAGGGAGCGAAACCACTGAGCTAAATCCCCGGCCCTGTTTTCTTGGTTTTTTGAGACAGGATCTTGCTATGTAGTCCAGACTGCCCTTGCACTCACTATATAGCCTGGGCTGGCCTCGAACTCAGAGTGATCCTCCTGCCTCAGCCTCCTGAGCACTGGGCTCAAGTGGCTGGCTTTTACATTTTTAAAGAGTTGTAACAATAACTAAAGAGCACACAGGATTAAGCATGTAGCCAACAAAGGCTAAAATACTTACTATATCTCTCCCTATAAAGAAAAAGCTTGCCAACCCTGCTATAAAATTGAATTTTATATTTCTCACTAGATTAAATATCTTAGTGTTTTACATATACATTTAAGGTCATTTATTATTTTCTCTCTACTCCCCATTCCTCTTCCCTGCCCGGTTTCTATTCATGTACTAGCCATTTCCTTTACATAGAAGTATTTACACAAGTATTTATTACAATATCCTGAGGAAGCAAAATAAACTAAAAACAAAAAACCTAGATACTGACCATGCCTACCCTTTTGTTTATTAAGTGCTCTAACATAAGCATTTTTCCACCTGTGATTTTAAATTCAATAACGAAAGGATAAATTAGTAAACTGGGCTCATGCTGACCAGAACGCATAACTTCAGCTAACTTCTCTATTCGCATACATCCAGGACTGGGCGAAAGGAGGAGGAAAGGAGGAGACCGACAGTTCCCAGTGCTCACTCAATAAACTGATTAATAGTAGGCTGGAATGACAGCTTCAATGACAACAACAAAACACAAGATTTGAGACTGAATTTGCCGGGTGTGGTGACATAAGCCTGTAATCCCAGCTCTGAGGCTGAGGCAGAAGGATCACAAGTTCAAAGCCAGCCTGGGCTACATGGTGAGCTCAAGGCTAGCCTGAACTACATAGTGAGACCCTAACTCAAAACAAACAAACAAAAAAGATTGAATTCAATAAACCTACAGGAAATCTGTGGATATGACAGTAACTTCTTTACTACTGGTACTTAATACCATATGGGCCAGGAATTTAGCTCAGCGCAAGGTCCCAAGTTCAATCCCTGGTACAAAAAAAAAATGCTATATGAAGTCAAGAAGGTACAATGACCCATTAAAGACCTTTGGCAATAAAAATACTGCAAAGTAAAAAAAGAGAACCCTCTATGCTCAAAACACCAAGAGTAAAAGAGATGGTGCAATGTGGCAAGGTGACAGAAGTATTGAGAAAGTCTGGAAAGCAGTGTGGACCTACAGGACTGACACATCGGAAGGCACCAAGTCTTTGTTTCAGCACAACTAGTAACATGTGATACAGGGCACAGACGGTCTGAGGTCATCTTCCCAGACAAGTAAGACAAGAATACATCCTTCTCCTGGGGCTAGAATAGAAACATTCGGAAAAGCCTACTGTCCTCTAAACCACCAAGACTAGCTAAATCATTTCCACTCAACTCTTTGAGTCCTTTGTATTCCCCCCAAATAAGCACTCTGTAGAAGAACTCAAAACTCAACATGCAGTTTTTTGCTGGTTTTTTTCTGGGTTACTGCAGCTTGAACCCAGGGGCATTTTACCACTGGGCTACCCCAGCCCATTTCATGTTTTATTTTGAGACAGGATCTAAGTTCCCCGGTGAAACCAGAACTTGCAATCCTCCTGCCTCAGCCTCCCCTTATACTGGGATTTACAGGCATGTCCTACCCCCACCACACCCAACACAATACACATACTTTATACACATACTTTATACACATACTTTAAAAAGATAAAAGAGTAAGGCATAAGAGAGACCATTATTTGCACAACTGTGTAGAATAGGGGCTATTTATAATTTATTCTCTATTTACAGAAGCATAAAAGTTTAATTAAGAGAATTATTTTTAAGGGGCTGGGGATTTAGCTCAATGGCACAGCACCTGCCTGGTAAGCTCAAGGTCCTGAGTTCAATCCCTGGTACCCAAAAAAAAGAGAGAGAATTTTTTTTTTGGTACCAAGGATCAAACTTGGTATCTTGTGCTTGTGCAGCAGCACTGAGCTAAATCCCCGGGCCCAAGAGAGAATTATTTTTTAAGGAGGGTCATTTATCAGTACAATTTTGACATACCCACACATCCTATATGAGAAATAATTAGAAATGTACATTTTTTTCTGTGCCACAGTAAACTCTGTAGTCCTTAACAGTAAATCCCTAAGATATAAACCAACAAACTTCAGGTTTTTAATACATTCAATATTTTTTGTTTTGTTTTTTGAGACAGAATCTAAATATGTAGTTTGGGCTGGCCTTGCACTCATTTTGTAGCACAGGCTGACCTAGAACTCTCTCACTGATCCTCCTGCCTCAGCCTCCCAAGTGCTGGAATTACAGGCCTGTGCTACCATGCCTGGCTGAGTAGCTTCAGTATTTTTTAAAAGCTATTGCCACATTTAAAGTTTCCCTTACATGCCTAACTTTCTGTAATGGATTTATTATAATTTCCAATAATAATACCAGTACTATACCACTAATACAATCAACCTACACTAATACTACAGTACTCAACATACACAACCTATAGTGTACATAAACCTAGTGTACACTATATACAATCGCTATAACACTAGTACTACACACTAATATAATCAACACCTGTTATTAATTACAATATCAATGGAGGAGGATGGTGAAGATGGAACCCAGGGCTTCCTGCAGTACCAATTATTTAACAGGAGAAAAAAATGAGCCCTGAAAAAGTGGCTCTGAAATCACTGGTATGCACTACCAGAGTGTTAATTCTCACACAGGTCTTGTTAAGCATTTATACAGCACATTTATATTTGCCAAGTGCTTCATAATCATTTTATTAGCTGTTTCTAGTCCAAAACAATCCATGAAGAACTTTACAGAAGAGGAACCTAGGCCCAGAAAGGAACCAAAGAAAACCAGTTTACCCTGGAGGAAACACCACCACTCTCTTACAGGCCAGATCCTCCGCATTACTTTGCAATCTGCAGTAAGAATTTAGCCAAAACTATTAAACAGAATAAATGTCAATAAAATATGAAGAAAATTACTAACTTCCTATACACTCTTAAGTACATGGGACTAACTGCTGTGTTTCATTATACAGACACACTATAAAGAAGTAAAACTCTACCAAGTGACAAACTTATAAAGCAGTTACTTTTTTCCGCACTTGCTAAGCAAAGGGGGGCGATGAAAGAGGCTCAGTGAATAAGTCCAAGTCAGGTCCTTTAATAATAGGGAGCTGGTCTAAATAAGTAGGGCCCAGCTAAAAGCTCGAGTGGTGAGCATAGGGAGGATAGGAAGAAGTGAGAATGTGCTACTTACTTAGCATGCTTAGTCAACCCACCTATCAGCAGATAATGGTTCTAACCAAAACTTTGTGGTTTAATCAGTGCATATCTCAGTACCAGCAATGGATGATCACATACAGTTATATCACATACAGGATAACAAAAAACTTGAGCCAGAGCCAGATGGGGCATAAAGTTCCTTCCTTGCCCCATTTAAACCTCTCTCTTATCTTGGTGCTGCATCTTAAAATGAAAAACCTATATGCTCACACAGGGCACAGTTAGACTGAGGAGTTGTCCTGACATCACATTCCTCCATCAGAGCCCATAAACCTCATTCCATAGAGACATCTCTGCTCATCCAGAAAGGCGCCCTAACCGGTAAAGTACACACTTCCTCACTCTGTCCCTCCTGTCTCCGGGGCCAATTCCGTGACCCACATCCCTGCACCCTGCAGAGCCCCAAACTCCTCACCCCTACCGCACTTCCGCCCCGGTGGCTTCCCAGTCAAACCTCACCCCAGCCCCCACCCCACCTTTGTCTCACTCCCCAAGCACCCCAACATTCTCAACTCCCAATGGTAGCCCTTCCCCCACGAGACCCCCCACCCTCCGGCCTGCTCCCCGCCCCCACGTTCCCCGGTCTCCCGGCGTCGGGATCCCCGACCCCTCCCCCAGCTTCCTCCGTCCGTCAGTCCGTCCCGACCCTCGCCGCGTCCCCTCCGCCCACGCCCACCCTGCGCCCGCGGCGGGTCCCCAGCAGGCCTTCACCTTGTCCATGAGCTTCCAGCACTTCTCCACCATCTTCTTGTCCACGGTGCCCGGCGGGTGCGGGCTGAGGTGGTGGTGGTGGTGGTGCGGCTGGAAGGCGTCCTTCATGAGCCCGATCAGGCCGCCCGCGCCCGAGCCCCCGGAACCGCCGCCGGCTCCCGCGCCGGAGCTCTTTTTCACGTTGCCAGCCATGGCCAGGAAGGGTCGCGGGCCCAGCCGGGTAGGCGACTGCGCTCGGCTGCGAGCGAGAAAAAACGAGGACGCAAAGGAGGGGCCTCTCCGGCCGCCGCCGGCGGCTCTCCGGGCGGAGGGAGGAGCGGAGTGGGCGGTGCCGGGGAGCACGGGGCGCGCCCCTTCAGCGAGCACGGCGGGCGGAGCGCGGGGGCACGCACGCACCGGACGGACCACCGACTGGCAGCGGCGGCCGCGTCCGGATCAGGCAATGGTCCGCTCCCGCGCCACCCTTCGCGAGCGCCCGCGTACCCACAACCCCGGTCAGCTGCGGCCAAGGTTCCGCGCCCGCCTCCCCTGCATCTACCCCGGGCGGGGCGGGGGGGGGGGGGCGGGGGCCGGGCGGAGCCACGGAACCTCAGCTCCGGGGCCCTCTGCTGGAGAAGCGGGGAAGGGGAGGGACGGGGGCAAATTGGAGCCTGCGCACTAGACAGAAGCCTGGACCTCCATGTTTCTTCTGGGCTGGAGGTTGTTACTCCAGGGATGGGTCTTGCAGTGAAAAGGTTAATACCAAGTCTTTCCTTTACACCTGACCTATGTGGAAATTGAGTTTAGAGTTATTTACTTCATACTATGGAGAAATGGTGGGAGAAAAGGGAAAGTCGTTTCTCTAACCCCTGGTATTTTAAACTCTTCATTAAGACGCGACCCACTGAGGACCTGAATGCGAAACAATGCAACACTTCTTCTGAAAAGTGGTTCCTTTTCTGGGAACTGAATATGTACTTAAAATTCTCAGCGCTTTGCACGTGAGACGTGAGACTGCTGCAAGGAGATCACAGGGGTTCACCCTCTGCCCAAGAAGCAGAAATGCGGTTCCCTGTCTCTTCCACTTCTCTAAAACTTCTGTTGGAAGAACTATGAAAATAGTAACTTCCTTTCCAAAGAAGGAAGTGCCCTACTCTAGTTAATTCTGAGCCAAGGCTCTGTGAGATGCAAGCCTAGGTATGTCAACACCTACTCAGTTCCTCCTGAGACCTCCCTCCCGGCTATTCCACAACAGTCCTGACTGATAAGGAGTTTATCAAATACTTATGCTGAAGGGGAAAATATCTCTAAACCAGAGGAACATTCAGCCATCCTGGTTTGCAGACAATCACCTCTATGTAAGACTAACTGTGGAGTCAGCATTATCATTTCTTAGCTGTAGAACGGCTTTTCATCAGTTCCTAGCTAGAAAAAGAATCTACTGAAGAAAAATCTAGGCAAAGCTCTTGTCAAAATTTTCCATCCCGGCAGGTGTGATGATGCATGCCTGTAACCCCAGTACTTGGGAGGCTGAACCGGGAGGATCACTGCAGTTTGAGACCAGCCTGGGCTACAGTGAGTTCAAAGCCAGCCTAAAGTACAGAGCAAGAACCTGTCTAAAAATAAATAAAACTTTCCATCCTTGGTGCCACCACCTTAGCTATAGGCCCTCTTTTTCTTTTCTTTTCTTTTTTTTTAACCTAGCTCTGCTGCTGCCCTTACATAGCAGAAGGGGCAAACTTCCTTGGGGGAAGCGCACGCACGCGCTCTCTCTCTCTCTCTCTCTCTCTCTCTCTCTCTCTCTCTCTCTCTCTCTCT